ACTCATCGGCTAATATTTGTTTTTATTCATATTGCCCTTTTACAAACATATATTTTAGTTATATCTGTAATTTTATATATCTGTATAGGTATACTAGTGGTGCTGAAAAGTTCTCTTTGATTTGAAGAAAACATTAATCCTCCATCGGCCTTCATCTTGAAAGGACTACAACTTGCTGAAATGGCTATCAGTCTCGTATTTCTCCGGCCTGGCATGGCAAGACAGACAAATAGATACAGAGAGAGATAACAGACTGTCAAAGGCTAACAAGATTTTTAATTGCCTATACAAACGTGTCTGGAGCAATAAGAAATTAAAAATTGTATTCATGCAACAAATAAATTAAAACTTCAACAAACCATAGTTGTCTGTCCGATTGGAGAATGCTTCTTTATTATTATTATTATTATTATTATTATTATTCAAACAACGCAAACATTACTTTCTCAACCAATACATTATCTCCGTGTCTAATGGTCTATTTATTGGATGATAAAATTACCATTCAATGCAACGGAAAACACAGAAAATCCGAAAAATCTTAATGAAGAAACTGACATAATACACAACCCCAAATGTCTTTGATAATGGCTAACGATAGCTGAATGTAATGAGACATTTGATAGTTTATATCTAAATATCTACCGGAAACTGAGAAATGATCCTAAATCTAGATAAAAATGAATAAAAATTTCTTTACAAATGACTTTCGTTGGTCTTTAAACAAATTTGTATAAATTATAAGTAAAAATATGTTGTTGTCTTTTTTGTGGGCGGGGGTCAAGGTCATTCTTATCCAAAATATAGATACCCATGTCATAATCATCACCACCCTTATATCTTTAATACATTTGCCTGGAGAGAGAAATTAGATTCGTTTGGGATCTGGTATGGAATAAATGATGAGTGCCTATCTCTTCACATTTGTGCTTGTATATGCGTAGTGTATAATCTAGGAAGAAATTAGGTCTCTCATGTCATCTTTGTCTTACTTTGTCTTAGGTTTGAAATGTTTCGGTATTTGGATCCTCGTCAGATAAGCTTTTGTGAAGCGATATAATCGTTTTTCTTTTCGATCTGGACATTCACTGAGTCAGAGGTTAGCGGTCAGTCTCCAATGAATAAAAGGAAGAGGAAGTCTCTGCTGTCACCTCACCATATATTGCTTTTGATTGGAGATATATGCAGATTCCTAGAGTTGCTTCAGCACATATATACCACCATTACAACTCCTTACCAGAAATAAAGCCAATTTGATTCGGGAGTTAAATTAAATAGAACAGTAAGATGTTAATACAGTGTTCATAAGGACTTTCATCATTTTCAACAATTGGAAATTAATAGCATGAGATTAAAAGTTACTAATCTTGCCTCCTCGATACATTTCCTGCGCGTTCATTCCTCAAAGAGAGATCATACGCGAAACTTAATAAACACATGTTTGTAAAATATGAGACATAAGTGATATTTATGTGTGTGTATGTGTGTCAGGACTGGTGGGTACTACCCCCGAAATATAATGTATTTTTTCAGATTTTCTAGTTGAATTGTCCACCTATATTGCATATGATTCATTATTGTAGATAATTAGGTTACAATAAAATTTATATTTTATATGAATTTCTACCTTATGGCAATTAAGATGTCGTAGAGCTGGAGATCTGAATCTATGATACCATAAATTCGGGGTGGAGCACGAGACCTTTCACCTTCCCTTATGTGTGAGCTTGTGTGTGTGTGTGTGCGCGCTCGCGCGTGTGTGTGCGTGTGCACGAGTAAATGAAGGAAAAGATGAACAGAATGAAAAGATACTAGATTTCCTTCTTGTCATCCTTTTGTTCACTATTATTCTAATATAAATTATTTTATATATGTGTATGTCTGTTAGTTTACAGCCTCAAAACTTGAATTGCAGCAACTTGAAGAACGATACCAATATCGACCTGGCTACAATCTGCTCAATGATAGTAAGTCATAGATGTTTTACACAAATTTTCAAAGTCACCGGCCACTTTATCAAGTAATAATGCTAATATCAGGGCACTGTCTGATCATTAGACAGTCAAGCATGCTGCGATAAGATCCAGTGTGTTGAAATGGTCCAGTGTAATCAGGCTTCATACCATGGAAACACATTTCTCATTTTATTCAATAAAGTGTCATTTGAGAATCGGGGAGATTACGGGGTTTGACATTTCTGAGAATTTTCCTTAGCGTGTTTTATGTGGTGCATCCATGTATGCAACAGTTGTCAAATATACCCTCCTCCATTCACATACCAGATTCTGGACGGCCACGCAATATAGACACTCGCAAGATGACATTGGGGCCCGCAGTGTCAACCCAAATCACTTGAAATCCATCATTTGCCATAAAATTATAGGCACTTGAGCTTCTAGAAAGACTCACGCCACAACACAACGGGCAAATCTCGAACAACTTTGTGTTTTGCTGAGTGAACACTAAAAGGCACTGTATAAACACAGAATATTGTCCAACCTATTCTGTTTTCATTCTTGTAGGGGTACTGTTGGCGAAAGATAGCCGCTACTAACCCCACTTACACATGAGTCGACTCATCCTCATTCCCTTTTGATATCCCATTGGTAAGGAGGAAGTTCTACTCAGACAGCTTTCTCCCACCAGAATTGTTTTATTGTGGGGGGAACACCTGAAAGCACGCTTCCCTGATCACTACAAACTTAGCTTCTTCAAGTCGAGAGTAAACCTATTTATTCTACATACCATAATAATATGCACACCTGTCATTTAGTAACAATCTACCTTGAGTTGCTCTTGGGCATTGTATTGAGTGAACAATAATGATAAAACAACTACATCTGACTTTTTCAGTTTGTCTGCTTCATGAAGCGTTTGATAATCTGTTTCTATTTATGAGATGAGGTATTGTAGTTATTTACCCTATTTACATTATTCGGACTGTTGTCCTCATCTTTTTTGCCATATTCACGACGTTTTGGCCATTTTACACTACGGCCTTCTTCAGGATTTGTCTATATTCCTGAAATCAGGTACTGTAATTACTTACCCTATTTACACTGGTCGGGCTGTTGTCATAAACTGTGTTGCCATATTCACGACGTATCGGCCTTCAGTCGACTATGTGTTGTATACAATTAACAGTATGATAAGAAGAGATTCACAAATATCAGGTCGCTGTATGTAAGGGCAAGACGCATTTAATTTCGTTTACAATATGCTTTGGTTTGTAACGATTAAAGAGAAAAAAACGGATCAAAACAGACATGGCCAAATTGAGATCGATCGATAGATAGATAGATAGATGGATATCAGAATGATCAGAATAATAAATGATAAATAGATTGACTCCTACTTCGACTTTTATAGTTAGGCATAATAAGCGACGACTGTGTTTTCAAGCTTACACAGATCTCACACAGCTGCCCACATCACATAACACAGCATGGTGCCAGGTCAACTTCCATGCAAAAGTGGTTATTTACCAGGCGTGAATTAGGCGAGATAATATTACAAAACAAACAACGGTACACACGCACGCGGTGACACACACACACAGAGGAAGACAAACATACAGAAATAGTGTTGCCCCGTGATGTATATCACAATAAGCAATTTTTAAAAAGTAATATACAAGAATGTGAATGTCTATAGCATATAAAAATTAGTCTCATGTCGAATACCTGTTTGCCTTCATGTCAAATTTTGAATGTTTTCGAATATCATGAATATTCTTAAAGTAGTTAAATAAGAGACGAATATTTTTTAAACATTCATAATATAGCCAGTCATATCCTTGGTGCTAGACAGCTATCAAAGGGTGTCTGAAATATTATAAAACTTTATTTTACCATTTGGACTCGGACAGATGATAAGAAAAAAATGTTTCGTAAATCAGTCTTCTAGTGCCTTTGATGTTTATCGAGTAGTCTGCATGGATAGTTGTTTGACATTTAACGTCAATAACTATCTATGGCCGTTTGTCGCAGGAAAGCAAGCCAGTCTCCCCCACTGAATACGAACTCTTGTAGACAGGATAAGAAAATATCGATATAATTTGTAATGCGGATTTTCTTGTGTAATGCATAAAAAATTAAGACTTGAAGCTAAGGGATACTTTTGCCAAATGTTCTTTCTGCTGGAGGCACCAAAGGAAATTCTGTATAAAAAATCTGGATGAGAAAGGAGAATGAAAGAAACTTTATATTATTCTTTTCTTTCGCTCTGTGTTGACTATACAGATCTCGTTTAAGAATTTATTCTCATGGCTTTGTAAACAAAAATATGAATTCGTATTAAATAAGGACACTATAATTCATTATAAAATGAGGATGTTATATATATATATATATATATATATATATATATATATATATATATATATATATATATGTATAACGTAATAGATTAACTATCACATATACATCTTTTTATTTTACATATAGATGGTTTTGTGTCAGAAGTAGAGTAATTGAATGCCCGTATGCAAGTAGGCTTACAGATGGGCAAATACGCATTTATGCTAAGGGTACGCTCACCACACATGTACGAACATATATATATATGAACATATATATATATATATATATATATATATATATATATATATATATATATATATATATGTTTGTGTGTGTAAATCAAAAATACCTCTCTCTTTACTTTCTCTCTTTATATATATATATATATATATATATATATATATATATATATATATATATATATATATATATATATATATAGCTGCAGCAGCTATTAGTCGATCACTATTGGCGAGAAGGTAGTCGCCATGCCGGCTCTGTGTCAGCCACGGAATCCCCAGCGAGTTAATGCTATGTGACCATACCTTCACTATTTCCAGTATGTCGGTTGTATGTCTGGAAAGCCGATTAGGGGGTGGGGGAAGTGCTCCCCAAGGAGAACGAAGTGAGTCGCAAGTCTCCGGTCGTCTGCAATGAATTATTAATACAGTGGGCCAAGTCCACAGACGTGCAATTCACCCGAGTCGAGTGGAACGGGAACGTCGTTTCTATTGGAAACATCGGAGCCATTTTGTTCTAATGAGAATTCATCGTCAAAGGAACGAAAGGGGGCAGGGAACGAGAGAAAAAAAGAAAGAAAAGTCGGACAAATAAAAGATGGAAGGCCTCAAAAAATGAGGCTTCTGAGATAAGAACAGGAGATTATGACTAAAAAGTTGAGAATAATGGAAAGAAATCTAGAATTAAATCAGTGAAATGGAAAAAATAAAGGGAAGACAAGAAAAAAGAAGATGATACCAGGAAAGGAGAAAAAACGGAAAGAAGAAGAATTAATATTTCGAAGTAACAAAAAACTAATGTGAATTTAAAGCGTAGGAAACCTGTTCGCTTGGTGAATTACTTCCAGCAAACAAAATGAAAAAGAAGGTAATGAAGAAATAGAGTATGAAATGAATTGAAGAAAGAAAGAAAGAAAGAAAGAAAGAAAGAAAGAAAAGATAGAAGGAAAGAAGAATAAGGAATTGAGAAAGGTAGAGATGAAGAAATGAAAAGGAAACGAAACGAAGAGAAGGCGGCACAAAGAATTGAAAAGAAAGAAAGAAAGAAAAAAAAGCAATCATGCAAGAAAGAAAGAAAGAAAGAAAGAAAGAAAGAAAAAAGCAATCAAGAAAGAAAGAAAGAAAGAAAGAAAAAAGAATAAGGATTTGAGAAAGGAAGAGATGAAGAAATGAAGAGAAAACGAAACAAAGAGAAGGCGGCACAAAGAATTGAGAATAAAGAAAGAAAGAAAGCAATAAAGGAAGGAAGGAAGGAAGGAAGGAAGGAAGGAAGGAAGGAAGGAAGGAAGGAAAAAAGAATAAGGAATTGAGAAAGGAAGAGATGAAGAAATGAAAAGGAAACGAAACGAAGAGAAGGCGGCACAAAGAATTGAGAAGAAAGAAAGAAAGAAAGAAAAGCAAGCAAGGAAGGAAGGAAGGAAAGATGGAAGAATAAGGAATTGAGAAAGGAAGAGATGAAGAAATGAAGACGAAACGAAACGAAGAAAAAACGGCACAAAGAATTGAGAAGAAAGAAAGAAAGAAAGAATTAAAAAAATGAAAAGCAAACAAGAAAGAAAGAAAAAACGAAAGAAAGAAAGAAAGAAAGGAATTGAGAAAAGAAGAGGAAACGAAACAAAGAGAAGACGGCACAAGAATTGAGAAGAAGAAAGGAAGAAAAGCAAGGAAGAAAGAAAGAAAAAAGGAAGGAAGGAAGGAAGGAAGAATAAGGTATTGAGAAAGGAAGAGATGAAGAAATGAAGAAGAAACGGAACGAAGAGAAGGCGACACAAAGAATTGAGAAGAAAGAAAGAAAGAAAGAAACAAAGAAACAAAGAAAGAAAGAAAGAAACAAACAAACAAACAAAGAAAAAAAGGAAGGAAGGAATGAAGGAAGGAAAAAAAAAGAATAAGGAATTGAGAAAGGAAGAGATGAAGAAATGAAGAGGAAACGAAACAAAGAGAAGGCGGCACAAAGAATTGAGAAGAAAAAGAAAGAAAGAAAGAAAGAAAAAAAGAAAGAAAGAAAGAAAAGCAAGGAAGAAATAAATAAAAAAGAATAAAGAATTGTCTGTTATCAATTCCCCAAGTTTTTGTTCACCACTGCAGTCGCAAGGTATTGAACTGGATCCAACCAACGCTTTTATGCACTGTGTCATGTGTCCTTGGCGATGAATTTTTGCGACTTATAAAGGTTCAGTTCGAAATTCCAATCACCTGATGAAGGCCGGAGCGTACAACCACCGAAACGTCATGAATATGGCAATAATGATGAAGCCAACAGTCCGAACAATGTAAATAATAAAGAATATTGTACGTAAAAGGAGACCTGTGAAAGCTTGAAAGTGACATATTCAGAGATTTCCCACCATTTTGAAAATCTTAGAAGTTTGATCTAGTGTGCTTTAGACTACTCGGCCACAGAGATGTACATTCTTCAAAAGGGAAATTGAACATTGCTGGGCTGTGAAAATATTAGAAGTCTGTGGTTGTGCAGTCTATTGCACGCTAGATCAAACTTCTAAGATTTTCACAGCCGAGCAATGTTCAATTACCCTTTTGATGAATGCACATCTCTGTGGCCGAGTAGTCTTAAACACGCTAGATCAGACTTATAAGATTTTTCAAACATTTCTGAAAACTGTCGTCAGCTTAATGACTAATGGCTGCACGACGAAAACGGGATGTAAAGTAAAAATAATGATGAGGAAATTATTCCGAAGAAAACCAAGCACATTGAATAATAATAAAAACTTAAATAATGTCAATAAGAAAATTAAATAATCACAAATCAAAAAATTTTGATGAGAAAAGAAACATTATTTAGAAATTTTAAAATGTGTCCGGATCACTAAGATTTGGTCAGGAAAACAGTGCCATTGTAAAGAAAGAAATGAAAATATGTCTAATTGTGAATGTGGGAATGCAGGAGAATCATTGGATGAAAGATGCTGCCGGAGTATTTCGGGATGAAAGGAAAGATCATAACAGTGATCAATAAAAAATACCATTGCAAATTAACTAAAACGACAATCTGGTAAGACTGCATCTCTGTTTAGGTTAATGGTAATATTGGCTGTTTCCTTATAAGGAAATATTCGGCATTCATTGACCGAGCAACCACTTTTACTCGAGTTACGCTATTCTTTATTCCCCAGCCATCGGGATGGGATTAATGTGTAGTATCTGTTCACCCTATCTCTCATGGTAATGGCAATATCATCCATTCCCTCATTAGGAAATATTTACTGACTGAGCAGCCAGTGCTGCTTTCAGATGAAATTTATAAAATCTTTCACTTAAAACAATTTTCAGAAAAATAGGATTCTCAAATCCACTAAGTTTTATTGCTCTTTTCAGTATGGATGGGAGTTTCCTTCCTAACCTTTTGTTTGAAGTGGTGTATGACGTCATCCTCTTGATTATGTTATTATTTACTCATCGAGTTAACATGATGTTTATTTTAGTTGTTGCTGTCGTTGAAGGTCCCCAAATGTTGTGCTTTCTGTTATTTTCCTCGGAACAATTCTTTGTGATCCTGTTGCACCAGACCAGTAGCTTCGAAGAAATATGCTCCTTGCTAAGACCTACGGTCTTCATGAGATCGAAACTACCAAGCTGAAAAGGCGGTTGCATGCAGCTGACAGTTTAGTTACTTCTGAACTAGTTTGGTGCCATGTATGAAATCCATATGAATACTTCCATCTGACGAGATTATTTAAGAACATTACTCAAGTTTGTCGGTTAATGTTTGGGTTTTGTATTCTGCGAAACAAGGAGCACAACATATATCCTATGTTCAATTTCCTTATCTCCTTTACTAAATATGTTATAAATGATCCATACAACGAGTTTTTTGGAGTTTTAGTATTTACTCATACCACATCCGGAATTTTGATGATGGATTCAAGTTATGTGCCATCGTTACTTTCATTACAATATCAGATCATAGTTTATGTTTGGAGAAGGTTTATCTTGAGTCCTATTTCTTGAAAATGCTTGTAGAGCATATTGATTCGTTCAAAACCATTCTTATATCTAAGTACCTATGGCCCCGGCATAGCCCTTGGCTCATTATCAGTACACTAGCCTCAGGAGGGAAAGCAGGAAGGCTGTTTTCTATTAGTAGATTCGTCTGGAATATGGTATGAAATGCCAATCTTTTATATCTGCGCTTGTATATGCGAACGGCATTAGTCTAGGAAAATGAAACAAATTGGGGGCTTACATTTCCCTCATGTCGTACACCTGATGATGTTTGAAATTTTTCCGCATTGGGATCCTCGCCAAACGTATAGTGTGGTTTATAATGGATGATAGGAGGATGTGGTCATATGCTGCTGTGAGGTCGACATAATCAATGCTTCGTTTCAGAAAATTTCTGTCACCTGACTTAACGATAGTTAGTAAATATCCCAGTAGCAAAAATAAAGTGCATGTAAACAGATAACAGCTGTTAAATCGTTTTTGAATTTATTTATTTATTTATAATTTTCATGAGTGAGATTTATAAAAGATTGAAGCAGATTTATGAATCTGATTCTTCACCCAAGACAACCTGTACTGCCTGACTTTTTAGAATCGCAAGTCATCCATTTCTTCTCTTATTTTGTGGCATTCCTCTGCCAACTCTCCCATGATTGAATACGGATTAGAACAGTTGAAATCGGCTTACACTACCTTCAAATGATTTGAAGATACAACCAGTTAACACAACGGTCGGCAAACCTTTTTTCCGAGGATCACATATGTTTTTAGCGGGTTCATGACGGGTCACAAATATAAAAAATAATTGAATAATGAACATACAAGAAACATTCTGTTCAGCATTGACATTTAATCGTAGACAAAATTCCAACATTTATTTTGTCATCTTTACAAATTTGGAACGTTCAATGAAATAAATAAATTGGCCTAGATTTGCTATTTATTTTTACTGGACATTAATTAAAATTGAAAAACAAAAAAGGAAAATTGATTTGACTAAAATCAAATAATGCGCGTAATTTTTTTTTTTTTTGAAAATGCTTCGGCAGGTCGCACCCAAATCCGCCGTGGGCGGATGCAAGCCACAAGTCGTAGTTTACCCTACATAAAGTTTTGTATCAAGAAGATAACAAAGCATCCATATTTGCTATCTTGGATTTTATATTTCATTATTAAATATGAAAATGCTGACATACATTTATAAACTTTAATGCGTTCAAATTTTCTACCGAATATTTTAGAATAAAACGCAACCAACAAAGTAAAGAATTTGTTTCTGTCAAATCTTGAAAAGCGGTTGAAGGCGAACTTTGGGATCTGGAATCGGAAAATGCCTGAAAGTTAACAAAAGAATTGCTGAACAATATCCTCACTATTTAAGCGATAATAAAATTCACAGTTCACGCAGACGACATTTTGCGATCGATTCTACTTAAAAGAAATAACATTATTATTATTATTATTATTATTATTATTATTATTAATAATAATAATAATGATAATAATAATAATAATAATTCATTTATTGACTCGCTTGTTTCTTTATCTAGTTTAATACTTTTCTCTCGTCTGCAATAAAAGCGATTTGTGCTACTCAAAAAGCACCAGACTAGTCCCTTTGATGTTGCCGACTTCCCGATGTTTTGTGTCTCGTTTTTTTTTTTTTTTTTGTTCCTTTGTATTTCGCGTTTACGATTCGGTTTTGGTTTTTACTTAGGATTATGGGACGCAAAGAATTCTGTCAGAAGGAATTTCCTTCGGTTGGTTTAGATAAACGGAAGAAAAATAGGTGGGATTGGAGTGAGTGTAGATGTTTAGAATGAAAAAAAAAAGATTCAATACAAGAAAAGGAAGAACAAGAGGCTGATATTTCAACCATATATTACGTATTTTACAAATATATTTATGTACTGACTGCTAGCAGGCAGAGTTTTTTTTTCCAAATAACTCTTCACAATCCTGAAAAGATAACGTAAGCACCACAAAAAAGTATTTACTCAACCACCAAGAGAGGGAATAGATCACGAAGTTTTGAACGCAACTGGCTGTCAGATTGGATGTGATTTTTTTCAGAGGTGGATAGACGTTTGGTCGGATGATGTTTGGTCAATAACAAGATATAAAATAAGGAAAGAGATAACATTTATACACACAGTAAAAAATCAAAACGTTTCCTTTCCACTAGAAATAGCATATCATAAATCAAACTAACCTTGAGGGGAAGAAAAACTATTTCAAAGGAAAACAATATTACCCAGGTGGGTAGTTATGAAAACGGGCAAGCTCACGAACACATGTAAACAAATGCATTAGCATTCGATATTCTTCATTTACTTAGAAAAGGGTAAATAGCCAAAAAGTTTCAAAGATAAAAAATGGAATAGTAAGAGAAACAATACTTCACTTCGAAAGGGGCCTTCCCGTATCGCTTCATTTCAATGAAGGGTTTGTTTTGTTTTTTTTGGCTGGAGGCGACTGTGAATTTGTTTTCTCTGGAATCATGGGTAATAATTCGGGTTTAAATCCGCAGTTTTCACTCTTCCTGCAGGGCCAGGAATTTAGGCCGGGAGCGACAATGTTTTCGGAAGATAAAAATTTCCGACTCACTCTAGTAAGTTTTTCAACCTTAAGTAGGCATCGCAGGGTCCTTATGACGACACCTTTGAAGAAAGGGATTGACAGGTGGTGATTTCATACTTAACCAGGATATTCCCAGAAGGGCGGGGTGTTGATTGGTCGAGTGAGCCGAGGTGTCATGAAAACCCACAGGCTGCTGAAAACATCGAAGTATCAAACGACTGCACGATGATAGGCTGAGAAAAACGAGACGTCATCAACATTTTTCAATAAAAGCTATGAGCCAATTTTTCAAAACCCGAAAATTCCACCATGTTAATACAATTTGAAATCAATAAAAAAAATTTTTTATATCTCATAAATATGACTTCTTCATTCTTTGCACACCTTTTAATTATCTTTTTTTCATTGTTTGTATCGACAAAAAATTTAAACATGGCTCAGTTCTACGTGTTCCATAATTTCGAAAACATTTAAAACATTAAACTATACAGTAATAAGGCGCATCGGATTAAGAGCCCAATCTTCGATGGATGTGGCTCCATTATTCTTTCTATCTTCTCTGAGCTGTTTTCTTACAACAAATAGTTCTTCCTTTTCTTTCAACTTTCAAACCTGCGTTTGATTTCCCATAGATCCGAGATCAACATGAGAAGAGATAAGCGAAAATACTCAAACAATAACTTTAAACAATTTTCCAATAAGTTTAATCGGTTACAAATTAAACGAAAAATAGAAAAATATTTTAAAAAAATAAGCAGAAAAACGCTTTTCATTTTCATAAAACTTGTTTGAACGGATTAATATTGCCCAAATGAACATTACATTATATGACACTGCAACAAATGAAAATACGAACAACACTAAAAGCGAGCATACTGTCATATATAAAGGCATCTTCAAAGGCATCCGCTCAAGGGATCTTCTCAGACAGCACATCTCCCATTCTATTAAAAGGGAGCTATGGTTGTATCCCTTGTATCTGGAGTATCTCAATAGGTAAGTAGCGAGGTAGAATATCTCCTATTCCCATATACTCGTGAGTACTCACATTTACAGCTTGGCCTTGTGCCATATTTTGTGCGAGAAGTTGTGCGCATAAATAGCAAATTTAATTATGCAATTTTTAGTTTTTGAGGCAGAAATTTATTTTGCCTGGCAGAAAACTATGACTACCCCTGACAATGGAACGGAAATTCAAAACTATCTTTCTGCTACAACACAGAAAATATGCCTTTTCAGTTTTCCACACATTAATTTTTGGAAAAAATCGAAAACAAAACCTCTACAGTTTTATGCAGCATTTCCGTGATTATGTGAAAGCCTTGGGAGAGGAGTTAAAAAATATATTCGAATAATTCAGAATTCCAGATAATGGAATATCTAAATTATCGAAAAAGAATGAAGAAAAAAGTTATTTTCTGAAAGAAATTTAACATTTATTTCATCTAATAAAATTTTGTAAAACCTTGGTACAAGGTTTTGTCCAGTCTACGTTTGGTGAAAAAAATGCGAAATTCTGACGCCTTCTCAAGTAGGATTGCGTGTCAGTGAATGCAAATTCTTTCCCTGGTTATTGTCGAAATCATAAATATAAATCATCAACTTTGTTGAAGATTCCCGTTTTTATGAATTTTGAACATTTAACGGATTTGGATATTTCCAATTCACACTTTATTTGTTTAAAATTCTTCAAACGATCCTCGTATTTATCGCTGTCTTTAGATTTTCTTATATTTCACCATGATCGCGGTTTTGGGAATATTCTTCTGTACAATTCTACTGTGACCAAGTATTGAATTGAGATATCCAAAAAAGTATGGCACGTGGAATTAGGACAATCTACACCCATGGATTAAATAACGGATTCGGTTCGAAATTTCAACGTATATCACTTGAAGAAGGCCGGGCGTACAACGGCCGAAATGTCGTGAATATGGCAATAAAGATGAGGACGACAGTCTGAAAGATGTAAATAGTGTAAATAGCTACAATAACTTATCTCAGAAATATAAACAGATAATATGTTTTTCTTTTTGGTCTAAAAGGAATAAATCTCTACTCCTGTCCAATAGACAGGGGAGGAATATGAAGCTTATACAGGACTTAAGAATAACAGGGAAATAAATCTAACATTTTATTATTTTAAACAGGACTGATTACAATTCAAATCAAATTAGTTTCTATTGACAACAAAAGTAAAATTTAAAAACATGAACAGAAGACTTACTATTATTTTCAAGACGGATAAATAAACTTATTACAGCCAGCATCGCCGAAATCGGATCCATCAAACTCTACAAAATTACAGATTACACAATCCTAGCTCATTTCTATGTTTCAGTCTTTCGCAAATGCACACATGTATATCAATTATGTAAATATTCTGATCCTCTCGTAATCCCCAAATAAACTTAATGTTAATTCATCTAAGAATTCTGTCAAATATTGCACTCAAATAAGCGTAGTAATTGCATGTTTATTTCATTGACTGTCGAAAGTTTCTTTACTAATAATCCTTTAAAAGAAACTATAGATATCTTAATACAAAATATATATAAACGGTTTTCCAACCTCTCAATGTTTAACCAATTATATACATGTAACATTCTTCTGTTCTGGATAGCACAAAAACCTTTTTATGATCATTACGGCGTGCTGATGGTGTCACCTCTCAGGCATGTGTTTTTTTTTTAATTTCTTAAGATCTTAATTAGAAAACAAAATCTCTGATAAATTTGCCAAATCTATGATATATAATCAATAGGTATTTTAGTATGAATATGTCACCAATATAATCAATATATTGATGATATATTCATACTAGAAATGTTTTGAACGAAACAAAAGCTCAAAGTTAAAGATACTTTTGAAGAAAACACTTCTTTACATTTGACTTGTGAACTTTCTGCGCTATTTTAATGGAATCTAATGGTTACGATTTTTACAATAATGTTCACCCTGGACAATGCGAGGGGTGCACTCGAGATAGAGTGTTACGTTAAGCAATAGTTTATATGGATAGGAGGTAAGCAATAGTTTATATGGATAGGAGGAATATAAAGCTTAACTTTAAACTTAAATAGGTTATGATTGTATTTATACTCTTGGGAGTCTGTTCCATAGGACAGGGGTTCGCGGGAAGAAGCTGTTTGAGTGGAACATACTTATCGTTTGCTACTATGTAAATCGCATAGTGGGTTCTAGCCGTGAAGGTCAGATCAGGTGGAACCAGGAGATGCAGTTCGTCCGAGCACTTTCCATGGTACTAACGATAGATAACCAACAGCGTTATCTGTACTGCGCCAAAAATTAAAAGAGGTATTGAATAATATTTTGCAGGATGGCATTTGCCACTGAACGATTCGATATATGCAAGAATACAGACTTCTGTTAATGGTCAAGGATGGTATACAGTGTATTGATAAAGGGTCGGAATATTCTCGATATACGCCTCATTTAGGATCATTGGCATGTAATGATCAGCCTATGGAATCATACAACTATATTACTTATACGTTTAATTTTGAGTAAATAGAAACACATATTCAGTGTGCTGCAATTACATTTTTGTTAATGTATATACAAGCGCATATAATTAAAATAAACTGACGGTTTATAGATTCTATGTTTTATGGTATATGCTTTGTATTAAATGTATAAAGAAAGGCCAAAATTAATAATTCTACGTAAACTCATATCCTTTAATACACAATGATCCGTATCGAGATATTTACATACATACAGAAGGCGTTGCTATGGGGTTGCTGCTTGGTCATACTTTTTCTAATTTCTATATATCTCTTGGAAAAATAATCTAACAATTTTGCAAGGCCTACAACATGTCTTTGATACACTGATGATATATTCATATTAGGAAAACCCTAGACGTAATAAAGAACCTTAAAGAAATCTCCGAGGACAAAACTGTTTATTTTACTTATGAATCTAACATTAAAAATTTAATCCCGTTCCTTCATGTTTTTATTGACCTTCATTGTTTTACGAGCTGACTCAAAAACAAACCCACAGTCATAAATTCTTGTCTTTTAATTATCAATTTCCTCAGATATAAAAAGAAAAAGATCATGATTAACAGAGTTAAACAATTTTCTATTCAATACACATCAGCTGATAAAGAATCATGTATCATAAAACAAAAATTTATCGACAATAGTGTCCAAATCATGTCATTGATGAGCAAATAAATCATAAAAAGCAATAATCTCGATATCCGCAGAAATAAAACATCATTAACTCATTTTGTCGTTTTTGATGTATCCTAACTATAAAAAAAGATTTTTTAGTCGTTAAAGATATAATTCGTTGGCACATATCACTTAATGATCGTAGTAAATAACTAAGATTTGTAATTCATTTTATAAAAAAATTAAAATATCTAACTTAATCATCACTAATAGCAGTGAACGTCGAAAATCATTCTTGTATAAAAAATAATTTTGTTTCTGGATCCTGTTGTCCTTTGGGAGATTGCGTCTCCACCACTAATAATCAAAAGCCGACATTAGATCAAAAACAACTACAGTCTTTCGTAGGTTAACATGA